CCATACTCATGGTAGCATGAACAATGGACTATGAGCGCTTTGTTATAATGATGAATACCTTTACTTCTATGTTGAGCATAGCATGTCATAATCTTAATGAACATCATTGCTTTCCGCACTTATACAAATACCCGATAACTACCCTATGCATCCACCAAATATTATATGTTGGAATTAAGTCATGCGAGTACGCAATGTACTCATGGCGCTGTCGTTAAGTTATTTTACAGGTGTTGTTACCCGGTGGATGTGAGGTAGTGCTCTAGTCACCGCTACATAGTAGACCTTGGATCGGATGGATCCAAGATGAGCTACCAGTTAACTCCGATAAGAATCCGAGCGAGTTATCGAAGAGACGAGCCTAGAAGGGATAATAATAATTATATACATATGTGAATCATGTAATTTCTTGTAAGCATAATAACCTTCTTAATTGGGCATGATATTGGAAGTTACACGTGTTGGTTTGCCACAAGGGGTGTTCCGTGTCACTCGACCGTTAAAAAGATCCTGAAGCTGCCACGGTGTGTCCCGGTCACAGCAAGATGCTTGTCTGAAGCCTCCGAAGCATCCATGTCATTCCTAATACGACAACTCTTGCAACGTCCCCTTGCCTCCACCCCTTTTTCCGGATCCAAAGACCAATAACGATCTGAGTCATGAACTGCCTTAGTGAAATCACCAACGGCCCTCCAACCTCGAAGCTCACCACACTATGTGTTGAAGGCTTCCTTCTTGAAATAATCAGACACAAAAGTCATCAGAATCTTGGCTTTTCCACATGTAGCAAGCACATGGGAGCATGGATAATGGTAATACTTCGGCTTGTTGCATGTGCACTCGCACTTGCTAACCTCTGGCCATAACTGACACTCCATAGTTATTTCGCTTGGACCAGTGCCTAGTCCGCCCTTGTCACGCACCATGACTTCGTACACAAGGTCCTGGTTGATAACATGAAACACCCTATGCAGGGATCCTTTGGCACTCTTCTCCTCGATGTATGCAAAAATATTCCATGAATATGTCATTTGTGGATTCTGAACGACTAAGGCTGCCGCTTCACAACGCTCTCGTAGATACAACATTGTACCCCTCAGGATACCCTCCATAATTGCAACCAAAGGAAGCGACCGTGTACCTTTCAGCACCTAGTTGTAAACCTCCGCTATATTCATTGTCATTATGCCGTAGCGTGCACCATAGGTGTCATGCAACAATGACCACTCCTCGACGGGCTCCTCTTTAATCCAATCTGAGAAACACTTTAAAGACTTGCCCCCCTTGCGTCGACGAGTTTTGCTTTTAGGCTCATTAGGATCGAGACCAAGGCCTTGCGGCTCCTCCTCTCGTGCCACAACAGGTTGACGACGCACTTCTTTCATGTGGCTTGTGGTCAGCTTGCTCATCTAACCGTTGCCTAAGGAAATCGATTTTTTTCCTGGTTCTGCTTGCATAGCCTCTTGAACATGTCCATCAGGCGCTTGCTCCTGAACTTCTTGTAGAAATTACTAGCTAGATGCCTCATGCACTAGCGACTTTGTATATTGGGCCATTGGACCTCTAGATCCCTACCGTTCTTCAACTTATCCACTGTATTCAATAAACCTGCATTGCGATCATGCATGACACAAACATTTTCCATTTCTTCCATGAGAGCTCGTTTCAACAACTTAAGGAACCACAACCAGCTTTCGTTGTTCTCTGATTCAACTAGAGCAAAAGCAATAGGCACAACCTGGTTGTTGCCGTCAACCCCTATGGCTGTTAGCAACGTACCTCTGTACTGGCCAGTCAAGAAAGTACCATCGACACAGAGCAGAGGTCGGCAATGCTTGAAGGCCTGTATCATGCACCCAAAAGACCAAAAGGCTCATTTGAGGACACGGCCCCCCTTCACGTTCATGTAGTCATCAATATCAATTATAGTCCCAGGGTTTCTCGCTTGAATGGTTGCTAGAAGACTTGGCAGGTGGTGATATGAGTCCTTGTAATTACCAAACCTCTTCTCCAAGGCTAGCTGTTTTGCTCTCCAAGCCATGTCATAAGAAATCTCATAGCCATATCTATTCTGAATAGAAAGCATTATCCGAAATGGAGACATCCCAACTTTTTCAACTATCTCGCCATACATTATGTTTGCCATGAATTCCGTCGTCACGTTCTTATGCTTGATCAGCGTTGTCTGTAGCACGCAACTATGTGGTTGGACAATAGTGGCTATGAAGTTGCTCTTAGTATGTGGCATATGACCATGAACACGCCAAGTACAACCTGAGGTCACACACTTCATGTCCGACGTCGTGGGGTTAGAAATAACCACCTTAAACTGCTTCTTTTCATAAAAAGCCCATAGCCGAATTGTGTGCTGCAGATGAACCTTATCATGAAACATATGTCCTTGTTTCACTTCAATCATTGAATACTCCCATGACGAATGATGACCATCATCGACCGTCATAGCATCTAGTGCTATGTGAGCCCAATCCTCAGGGATATAGGTCTCGTCGCCAAAGCTCCCTGCCCGCAAATTCATCAACAAAGGTGAGGTGCTCCGCATCGTCAGCCTCCATCTGTTCCACGATTCTTTCGTCCTCCTCACCCTGGTCAGCTTCCATGTACGGACCATTCTCTTCCGCTTCTCCATCCTCTATCATGTTCTGAACCGTCTGAGGATCGGAAACATAGGTCTGCTCAGCATTTGAGGCCTCTAAGTTGTCCTCTACTACACCTGTGTTGCTACTCTCACCCTGCATGCCACCATCCAGGACTCAACAAGCATGATGTTGTAATAACAACGCTCCAACGCCTTCGACACGAGAAAATGCTGCTTCTTCGTGTTACTGGCCTCATACAACTTCCACCTCCATCCATTCTCCCGCAATTTAGGCACCAACATACTAATCCTGAAACGATGCTGGGAGGGCGGAACACCCAAATATTCATGCATCCAGGCTAAAACTTATTTGCGGCTATAATCTAGTGGTGAATTCAGTTATGTGTCAAAGACCTGGAACTCACTAAGGTCTACCCCATTGTCCCCATATCTGATTTCACCGTCACCATGGTAAATTCTGAAAGGAACTAAATCGGTTGACATTCCTGGTCGCATCGTGCAAAGTATCATGTCCGTTATATGAAGTACCATGCGAACCAAACAAAATAAACTAAAACAAAACTAACCCTAAGTAAATCGAACCCTACAACCTAACTAAAAATAACTAACGATAGCTAAAAATAACCCTAAAAATCTAACTAAATATACTAATTAATCTAACCCTAAAAAACTAATTAATCTAACCTAATGTACGACTGCAAACTAAATATACTAATTAATCTAACCCTAAAAAACTAATTAATCTAACCCTAAAAAACTAACCCTAATGTACGACTACAAACTAAATATACTAATTAATCTAACCCTAACCATATCTAACTAAACAAACTAAACTAACAAATTATAAATAAACTAACTAAAAAACTAAAATATAAATTTACAAAAAACTTACACCTTGTCAGGCTTGCAAGCAAGCAGCAAAGGCGGGTGGGCGGGGGTGGCACACCCGCCGGATTCGGGCCGGCCCGCCTATGAGGAGGCCGCCCGCCCAGAGGGGTGGGCGGCAGCATGCGGCCGACGGCGACACGGTGAGAGGGAGAGAGAGAGAGCGAACGCGAGCGAGAGGGAAAGAGGAAGACGCCGCTAAATATTTTAGGATCTATCGGCCAGTGGAGAGCCGACAGAGCCTTATCGGCCCCCGCGCGGCCGATAGTCCTATTGGCTCAATATGGCCCACTTTGCTGTGCGAGCCAGCCCCCTCCGGAGCCTTGTCGGCTGTGGGACGGCCGATAGGGACCCGTCGGCGCTCCAGAAGCCAATAGGCATCCAGTGGCCGACATGCTCCTAGATTTGTAATTCTTTTTAATCAAATGCTACATTTGCAATTAATCATTAAAAATATTATTTAAAAAAATCCACCTACTACTGCCCTGGGACTGGAAATAGAACCTAGCTAGCTGTTAACTAGATAGACTAACTGACTGGCTTTTCCCTTCCATCAGAGGCTACACTGATGAAGCTGCGACATGGCTCTCTGCAATCTTTTACTACAACAGTCCGGCGGCTGGGACTGGATGGAGGCTTTGATGTTGGACCACGACCAAACAAACAAACAAAGGAAAACACCGGGCGGGATCTAGATGTTATTCATGTCAACGAGCGCTTGCTTGGTCGACTTTCCATTTGTGGCCCTCGCTTCTCTTATAATCTGTTTTTTTCAGCTTGTTTTTTCAGCCGGAACAGTATTTTTCTCTCACAACAAATCAGCCAGAACAGTGTTTTGACTTGTTTTTTCAACGAAGCGAACGGGACCTGTGTGTCATAGTCGACTTTCCTTTTTTTTTCAAACACGCAGGACAGCTGCGCGTCCATATATTAAGATAGAACAGTCGGATTTCAAGCCGACTCCACGGCGTGGGTTAGTTTTTTAACACATACAGCTATATCCACTAGCTCCAGCCAACTAATGTATGAATGAGTTCCTCCGGCTTGATTCCGCTTGTCTCCCTCCCAAGTCCCAATCCATCCATCCATTTTAAGTTAAAGCCTGATGATGCTTAACCTAGCTAGCACTAGGAGCAAAACAAATCAAACGCCTTGCTTACGCAGGCTACCCAAAAACCCATAAATCTTTCTCTGGCGAGCCAGACCTTCAAGCTTCAAACGAAAAGCAACTGGACAAGTTCTATTTGATTGTGCTTTCATTCATCGTCCTCGGCATCATCAGCACCGCCCGAGGACCAACAGTTAGCTGTTAGCAGAAACGATATCAACGATAGAAGAAACAGCACATCAGACTTTTATGGTCTACTCACAGGCGCCCATTCTATCACAAAGCTTAGCACCAACAGTTTCGTTTGCTTCTTACATCACCCTACAATAATGTAAATTCTGAAATGCAGATGCTAAATAATGATACAGCTGATATATTCCACCTAAACTACTAATCTGTGCTGGCTGAGTGATCCCCAGAGAAGGCACTTCCACCGCCCGAGAAGGAAAATGCCGAGGACCCAGACTGCGAAGCGGTGGCAGCACCACCAACCCCCAGGCCACGACTCCTCTGAATCTGCCGAAGCCTGAAGATGTCTCGTGGCACAGCTGCCCTGCTCTGAATCGTTGACGCATCCTCTTCCTCCTGCACCCCTTGCCCTGTGTTCCATTCCGTTGCATATCATATAGATTACCTCATGTTCCATTTTATAACACCGACAGAAACAGCAACAGAGATATAGTATTACTTACTTTCCACGTCCTTCCTTCTCTCCCTTGGAGGTCTATGAACAGATCCATTCTGGTTTAGTCCCGCTTTTCCAACACCTGAGAGCTCACTCACACCACCTGCTTTCCCAGCACTCTGTGCAACTGGCAATGTGCTCTGCAGCAGCACGCTGAGCACCACATCAATATCCGGCGATGGTCCTGCCAAGATGCTCATATTTTCAGCATCAACTCAAAACTGACCATTCGGTTGTTCGTGTCTTGCAAATAGAAGCCCTCAACGGCCCATGTCAATTACGTGCCAGAAGTGAGGGGTGAATACCTTCAATAGCAGGCAAATTCTTAATAAAGGACACCATCGACGGCGATAGCACTTTGAGCATGTCTTCAACCTCCTTCGTGTACCCACTGCTAGTTGCTGCAAACTCTGGGCCTGTCCAAGAATCCACAGTGATTTTCCACTCTGCTTGCCAGCCAAGGGGGAAACTAAACAGCAATGTCCCATGACCAATTACACCACAAACTGAATTCCCCTTCCCTTCCCCTTCCCCTTCCTAGACTGCAAATAAAATGGCTAAATATATCTAAAACACAAAAATGAATGGGGTCCTGCTTATCGGTCACAAGAAATGAGCTCAAACGTGAACTTTTTGGAATACTGTAAAATTCTTCCATACAAATACCTTTCATCTGTCTTGGATCATAAATGATCATTTGAGAAGTCTCAGGACGAACAACTTTGGCAGATTGTGGTAGTAACCTTGCACTCGCACTAAATCCTGCAGCACCTTTGTCTGAGCCAGAGATAGTAAACACACTCAGCAACTTTCCCATATATCATGTTTATTAAGACATCCACCATAAGTAAGCGGCTTACCTAGCATGCTACTGCTATTTAGCATAGCTGATTTGTCAACCTTCTTAACAATGTTTTTCGCTAGCCACTGCAATAGTAAAATTAATTTTTTTTTTCTCAAACACGCAGGACAGCTGTGCATCATTATATTAAGAAATACGGGGGTTTAGAAACCCCTTACAACACCATACACACCCCAACACACTTCAAAAGGCACAATCCGTCTCTTTCTAGACAAAGACCTGACCCTTGACCACTAGCAGGAGGAGAACTCACCCATTGGCTGCCTCTAGAGCAAGGAGATGGGAAACTCCTCGAGCTCTGGCCCTGACTCCAGAGGTGTAGTTCATCCTTAACTACAGCTAAAACCCTATTAAGACTAGGTTGAATCCCATCAAACACACATCTGTTACGGTGGTTCCAAATAGACCATGTTAAGAAAGCGTAAGTGAGGCTTCCCCATGGAAACCAAATAACCAATCAGTAACTCTGTACAAAAACTGCACCAAAAATATCAAGCAGAAAAACATACTACCTTTCTTAACCAAATTAACAGAAAATTTAAGGGTCACATCCATGTTGTATCATATTATTGGTACATGAAATATACACTAATATTTTTTTATTTATGGAAGCACAGGAAATCTATCACCTGGATTTACTAGCCTGTACCATCTGATTGTTGCAAGAAGCTTGCAGAATCACTGCTGAGGCCAAACATACAAATACTCTAGGCAAACTTTTAAATTCAAGTTTTTATCAAGAACTTAATCCAAACAGACAGATTTCACTCAGTGCTCACATCTTTTAAAGATTGCACATCTGACTTGGAAAGATCAGTAAAATATTTACTTAGATAGTTTAGCTTGTGGTGTGAATTTAACCTGGAGCTCAGACTTGAAAGAAGATAGCTTAATTAGGTCATTTAGCACGCTAACTTCACTGTCGCACAGGAACTCAAACATATCACATATGAATAGATCACACAAGCTTAATGTATAAAGTTGGATAGTGCAGACCTCTTGTCTCGCTAGATAATCCAATTCTTTTGATGAGCATGGCCAAAGATCCATATAACTGTATCGGGAAACTATGTCATGAAGAGTGTTTTCCGATGCAGATAGGACATCTTCTGATGTCCTAGAAAGAGCCTCTTTCCTTCTTTGTTCAACCTGAGGAAAACACAAATTTTATGTATAATACATGTAAAAATTGTAGTTCTCCAGGGAAAATATGAAAATATTTATAAGAGTCACAAACATGAAGAAAAAAACTGTAAAAAAGAGATCAGGAGTCAGAAGGGAACACTGAGAGATGAGAAGGAAGTGGAAATGTTATTGAGAAAGCAGTATGAAACACACAAACACATACTTAGCAACAAAAGTGCAACTGATCCTGTAACAGTTTGGAAAAGTAAAGAGCAAAAGGCTAATTGAACCATACAATACGAATTAATGTTCTCTACTGTACCGCCGTTTAAAAAAAATGTTCTCTACTGTACCTGTCCAACACTTTTTCATAAACTACAAATGGTTACTATGGTTCTAATGCAATTCATTTGGGGGACACTTACAATGTGAATAAGGTACACCACTGATGGTACATCCAAATTACAGATACAGAGAACAAATCAATTTAAACCACGAGCATGTACTCCAAAAAAAAATAGCATCTTTCATTGGCATGACAAGCTTAACATGCACTCTGCACGATTACAAAACTAATTTAGAGCCTTGTACCTTAAGCATGCTTGATAAATCCCCGTAGATCTGCTCAAATTGGGCAAATCGTCTCCATACCTACATGAGAATAGAGACATCCATTAGTTCAGATAACAAAGAGGTAGATGAATGCATTCGATAATTACAGACAGATGTTAACTACCTTGTACGGTACCATACCTATCTATTTGCATTTTGCACCTCTAACAAATATCCAAGAACATGACTACATAGTTCCCAAATCAACTAAGGATTCCACAAAAAAGGTGGAAATAGTCAAATTATGATCTACTGTTGCTATTGCTACTGTCAAAGCAGACCTCAGTGCTGATTAAGATCACGGAAAATGCAAAGTAATGCTGAAAGAAGGAAGTAAAATAAAAGTCTTACCTCTGTGGATTCCTCAGGAGGAAGTAAGCTCAGTGCCCTCTCAAACAAAGCACGTACATTTCTGTCGTCATTTAAACGACACAGGAAGTCCGCGTATCTGAATAATAGCATCAGTTTCAATAATCCACCGAATTGACTTATATTTTACTATAATGTGACAGCAAGTGTGAACCCTTCTCAATCGCCAATATACAAATATAAGATGGCACGAATATTCATAAGTGGAACAGGCAGTTTAAAACACAATTCATCTCTTCTTACCATACCAATAGCGTATGAACCAAATGTATGCATTTCGATTAGGATCTATTCTACGGTTATGACTACAAGGATCATTATTTGTGAGGACGTAAATGTGCCAGACTGTTGTAAGGAATCGTTTAATTATTCCTACAATATATACTAAGAGATATAAAGGCAGTACAGTCCCCATAAATCCCTTTCTTCCTTTTCTTTTTTGTTCAGAATTGAACAAAGAAAAAAGAAATTGGGAAAGATGTTTTCTTCCTCCACGTATCATGAAGTGCGAGCCATAGGGAAGGAGTGAGATGACTTTCACAAATTTATCATAGACTTCGTCTATCGCTTGAGAGAAGCAACAAGAATATTTTAGGCAGGAAAATTATCAATGAGCCAATGAAACTTACTCAAGGATGTATCCTGGCTCAGGCATAAATCTCTTTAAACCTGCTTCAAAAACACTTTGTGCCACCTATAAGAGAATACTTAGAATATGTTACAAAATACAAAGAATTAACTTTAGAACCGAAGGAAGAAATGAAAGCAAGATGCAATATGTATATAGACTATAGTACAAAATGTTCAGTCTTCAGAACTAACTGGGACTCAGTCTAAAAATGTTAATTAAACTAGTATTAATTTGTTTGTGGCATTTCTGTAATCTTTTTGCTTCCTAGGAGTGTGTGGGTTCTGCTTGGGTGGGACGACTCTAGCCTTTCCCATTTGAATCTTTTTCTTAATGAAATGACACGCAGGTCTCCTATGTCATCGAGGAAAAAAATATTGATTAATTTTCTTTGCAACACTTGCAACTTTATGAAAAACACTCGGGCCTATTTGCTTCGAGAAAAAAGAAAATAAAAATCGGATGTAATGCCAGTGGAAAATGTCAGTGCACCAGCATTGGTTTATTAAAACCAAACTTCACCGCTCCACCGCTCTAGGCAGGTTTCAGTTCACTGATGATCTTTATCAAATTCGTGAAGCTTAAAATGGATTGCATGGAACTGAATAGACCAAAAAATACTAGCATAGGATGCGATCTAATCTTCTTTGCATGACCAATAACACACACGACTGTCCAGATTAAAAAAACGTTGCACTTTATGTAACCACACAGAAAGGACATGAAAGCTTTGTAGCTGACATGTTCCAAACATGAATGTTAGAATGTATTGTAACAGCCCATATTGGGCGTACGGCCCATTGGCCTTGTACATTGTAACCCTAGCCTATTAGGCTATATAATGAAGGTCACCCCCCCTTGATTAGGGTGTGCGGTGTTTCTTTACATGGTATCCTCCCTAATTACGATCTTCATCTTCCGCTTCGCTTCTCCTCTGCCCGTGCGTTCTCCCTGAGAACGCGCGCGCCATCAAGACCATCGTCGCGTCGGCGCCTTGCCGCCGCCAGCCCATTTGCCCCCCGCGACGCACCTTCCCTTACTCGCGCGGCCTCCGTCGCGACTCGCGGCACGGCCTCCGTCGCGCCCCCACGCGACGCGCGACTCGCGGATCAGACTCCGGCGCGCGGCTCATCGATCGCACCCCGCGCGCGGCTCGGTCGAGGCCTCTGCCTTCGCGCGGATTGACGCCCGGGCCAGTCGCGCATCTTCTCTGCGTGCCAAGCCGCGCGCGATTGCCTTCCAGTCGCGCCCATGACGTCGTCGTCGAGTTCCTCCTCCACAACCGGCGCCCTGTCGTCCGGCGCCATGGGGGATTCTGTTGCTGCTCCTCTCTTCGCCGCCTACGCCTCCGTCAACGTGAAGCAGCACGTCCCCATCGCGCTCAGCCTCGAGCGCCCGAACTACTCCAAGTGGAAGGCGTTCTTCACCGCTCTCTGCGGCAAGTACGGGCTGCTCGGCCACATCGATGGCACAGCGGACGCGCGCCCGACTGACCCCCTGTGGTCTCAGCCTGACGCCTGCCTCCGCGGCTGGATGTACGGCTCCGTCGACGACGCCGTCCTTGACCTCACCATGGAGCCTAAACAGGATGCACGCGCTCTGTGGGTCTCCATCGAGGCCTTGTTCCAGGCGAACAAGGAGTCCCGCGCCGTCGTCCTCGAGCAGGAGTTCCACAACCTGTCCCAGGGCGACCTCTCCGTCGACGCCTACGCCCAGCAGATGAAGCGCACCGCTGATGCCCTCCGGGAGGTCGGTCACACCATCTCCCCTGCGCAGCTCGTGCTCAATCTTCTGCGTGGCCTCAACCCCCGCTTCGCCAACACCGCCGACATCATCTCCAACACGTCGCCGCTTCCCGACTTCAAGTCTGCCACCAACATGCTCCGCGTCAAGGAGCTCCGCCTTGGCACCGAGGACAAGGCGGCCTCGGCTTCAGCACTAGCCGCCTCCACCACCTCCTCCTGCACGTCGCCATCCTGCCAGTCCACCCCTTCTGCGTCCACCAATCGTGGGGGCGGTGGCAAGGGCAAGGGTGGCAAGGGCAAGCGGCGGCGTGGTGGTGGCGGCGATGTGATGGCGATGGGGCGGTGGGCGCCACCAAGACAAGGTGGCAATGGCGGTGGCGCAAACAAAGAAGAAGGCGGCGATTTGGGCGGGCGTCACCGGCCCGACCCTGGGTTTGCTACAACCCCTTGGCTGCTCCCGTGGCCTTCCCAAAGAAGAATAAAGAAGGGTGCGCCACCTGCGCCTCCTCCACAGGCACACACCGCCTTCGCGCCTCCGCAGTTCTCCACTGCCGGCGGTCCCCCGGCGTACGGGCCTCCGGGCAGCTGGGACTCGGCAAGCTTGATTGCCGCCCTCAACCAGATGGCGATCCAGGGCGGGTCTGCACCCTGGGTCATGGACAGCGGAGCGACATCTCACATGTCCTCCAATGACGGTATTTTACTTTCCCATCTCCCGTCGCCACCGTCCTCCATTACGGTCGGCAACGGTCAATCAATTCCTATTCATCGTCGTGGCACTTCTGTTATTCAAATAGCTGATCGTCCTTTTCGTCTTGATAATGTTCTTGTCGCTCCCCAACTCACTCGTAATATGTTATCTGTTCGACAGCTTACTCGCGACAATAACTGTTCCATTGAGTTTGACGCGCTTACGGTTTTTTTCATTAGGATCCGCAGACCAAGACGGTCCTTCTTTCTGCAATAGCAATGGGGATCTCTACACCATTCCACATCACACATGCCCTCGCCGCCATGTCGCCATCGTCTCCCCGGAGTTATGGCACTCCGCCTTGGTCATCCTCCGCACCGCCGTCGTCAACACTCTAACTAAGCTATCGGCTATCCATTGTAATAAAGCATTTCGCCACATTTGTCATGCTCGCCCGACTTGGCAAGCACGCTTAGGCTGCCATTCACTAGTTCGGTTTCTAGTACATCACTCCCTTTGAACTTGTTAACTGTGATGTCCGGACCTCTCCGCTTTTGAGTATTTTCGCTATAAATTTTATCTTGTCATAGTTGATGATTACACACATTATTGTTGGATCTTTCCTCTTCGCCATAAATCGGAAGTTCATGAACATATTGTCCGATTTGTTGCTTACGCTCACACACGATTCAGCTTTTCCGTATGGCGCTTTCAGCGAGATAATAATGCACCGAAGTTCATCAACAATGCCACCGCTACCTTCCTAGCTAGCTAGCACGCGGCATCCCGCCGCACTCGTGCCCCTACACACATCCGCCCGTAAGCGGCAAAAGTCGAGCGGATGCTTCGCGACATCGAACAATGTTTGTTCGATGCTTCATTTCATGCCGCCATGCCTCCATCCTATTGGATCGAAGCTCTTTCCACCATTGTGTTTCTAATCAACCGTGGCCGTCATAAATCCATACATAATGGTATTCCCTATCATCTCCTTCACCGCAAAATGCAGACAACTCCATCCTCCGAGTTTTCGGTTGCCTGTGCTATCCGAACCTTAGTGCCACGACTTCCCATAAACTGTCTCCTCGCTCAGCAGCGTGTGTTTTCCTCGGTTACCCTCCTTCCCAGAAGGGCTACCGGTGTCTTGATCTTTCTACTCGCAAGATCATCATCTCTCGCCACGTTGTTTTTGATGACTCACTTTCCGTTTGCGGCTTCCAAGCCCCAACCGGATTCTCTTGATTTTTTGATAAAGGATATACTTCTCGCGCCTGGCCCGTCTACCTCAGACGTTCGGCACTCATGGGCCTCGATTCTTTTGCCTTCGCCTCATGCGCAATAAATGATGCCGCGACCCCGTCATTTGGACCCCGCCATCTGTGGCATGGTGCGCCGCCTACAGGCTGCCCAGCGCCCGGCCGGACCCGCCTACCTCCTCGCTTCTCTCCTACGCCAAGTGGCCCCCGCCACAGGTACGGTGATCGGCAGCGGTTTGGCATCCACTACACTCGTCGTCCGCGTCCGCCACCGACTCCTCAGCCGGCGCCGCCGACGGCCCAGCAGCAGCCGACGGTGCCCTCGGCTCCATCGCCCGCAGTAGCGGTGGCGCCCAGCTCCAGAGCCTCTCTTGCGGGAGACACGTTCCGGACGGGTTCATCGCCGCCGCCCATGCGGTGGTATGGCTTCACCGCGCGACCTCCAACTCGCTTCTCCGCCGCCAGTAACACCATGCGCGCTTCGCCGATGCTAATTGGCGCGCGGCGATGACCGAAGAATACAAGGCGCTTGTGGACAATGGCACCTGGCGTCTTGTTCCTCGACCGCCTCGTGCCAACGTCATCACCGGCAAGTGGGTCTTCAAGCACAAGTACGTCGACGGCTCTACGGCTCGTCATAAAGCCGATGGGTTGTTCGTGGCTTCGCGTGATGCACGGCGATCGACTACGACGAGACGTTGATCCGGTTGTCAAACCGGCCACCATCCGGTCGCCCTCAAAGATCGCCATCGCCGCCTCGCTCTGGCGATACATCACCGGACGTGAAGAACGCTTTCTTCACGGCCATCCGAACGAGACCGTTTATCGCCCGGTGACCGCCGGCCGTCGACCGACCGGCGGCTCCCGACCACGTCTCTCTCTCCGCAAAAGTCCTTGTATGGACTCAAGCAGCGCCAGTAGCGTGGCACCGGTGGTTCTCCGGCGGCATTCATTCGGGTCCGTCCGGCCACCGCTTCGACCCGACACGTCCCTCTTTGTTTACAAAGCGGGTGCCGACATCGCTTACTTTGTCGCTTCTACGCCGACGACATCATTCTCGACGACTTCGCCGACTCCGCTTCTTCGTCGCATCACCGAAGCTCCTTCACTCCGAAGTTCGCCGGCAGCAGATCTCGAGGATCTTCATCACTTCCTCGGGATCTCATCACGCGTGCTCGGCCGACCTCTTTTTCCGTCGCGCCAAGATGACGCTGTGGATCTGCTCCGGCGCGCACGGCATGGTCGAGTGTCAATCCACGGCGACTCTGCTGACACTCATGCCAAGCTTTACACACAGACGGCAAGACCGGTGGCGGATGCCACTCAAGACTGCGCAGCCCTCGGCGGCGCTTACAAGATCTCACGCCGACTCGTCCGGACCTCGCTTATGCGATTCAAAGAAGTTTGCCTCTTCATGCACACGACCGCGGCGCCTCATCTTGCGATGCTCAAGCGTGTCATGCTGCGGTACGTCAAGGGCACCCTCTCCACTCGGGCTTCACATCGGCACGGTAGCATCACCGGCTTGACCGCCACTCTCCGTCTTGATTGGGTTGGTTATCCCGACTCTCGCGCTCCACTTCAAAGCCATTGTGTCTTCCTCGGCGACAACTTAGTCTCTTGGTCCTCCAAACGACAAACTACGGTTTTCGTTCGAGTGCAGAGAGGCCGAGTATCGTGTTATTGCGCGCGCCTGTATTCGAGACTTGTTGGCTTCGTCGATTACTCCAGAGCTCCACATACCCATCTCTTGGCGACGATTGTCTCATGCGACAATGTCGAGTCTTTGTCTACATGACCGCCAATCCAGTTCATCATCGTCGCACGAAGCATATTATTGAGATAGATATTCACTTCGTCCGTGAGAAGGTTGCTTTTGGGATGAGTTCGGGTGCTCCATGTTCCATCATCTCATCGATTCATGGACATTATGACCAAAGGGTTACTGCATGCTTGTTCATCGACTTTAGGTCTAGTCTTTGTGTTCGTGACACTCCCGCTTAGACTGAGGGAGGGTGTTAGAATGTATTGTAAGTTTGTAACAGCCCATATTGGGCGTACGGCCCATTGGCCTTGTACATTGTAACCCTAGCCTATTAGGCTATATAATGAAGGTCACCCCCCCTTGATTAGGGTGTGCGGTGTTTCTTTACAATGAATACCAAGGATCAAAAAGGCGACGCCTCCTCCCCGCCTAGGCACGCCTAATCGCTGGGCGATGGGGTCCCGCCTGGCCTATGGGGGTAGGCGGACCCCTAGGCGCTCCCATCCCCGCCGGGCGCTCTCATCCCCGCCGGACGAGCTCCTCCCGCCGAACGCCCTCCTCCCCGCCGGGTGCCCACCTCCCCGTCAGGCGCGCTCCTCCCCGTCGGGCTCCCCGCCGGACGCCCCCTCCTGCCGGGCGCTCCCCTCCCCGCCGAACGCGCTCCTCCCGCCGGACGCACCCCTCCCGCCGGTCAGTCCCCTCCCCGCCGGTCTCCTCCCTAAGCGGCAGCAGCCAGCAGGTCAGTCTGTCCTCCCCTGCTCCTCTCCTCTGTTTTCTTTGAACTTTGAAGTGGTCTGAATGACTGAATCTGAAACCTGCTCCTCTCCTCTGTTATTTGACTGAATCCTTTGATGGCTGCATGTATGTATCTGTGATTGCCTGAACTCTGAATGTATAGCTGATTGACTGAATGACTGATGGACTGAATGTATAGCTTAGCTAGTTAGCTGATTGACTGAATGCATAGCTCAGCTAGTTAGCTGTCACTTACTCACTTGTTAGTTTACACGCTGAATGCAAAATTAGGAAAACGTCTTGAAACGCCTAGGCTAGCCTAGGCTCGCTTAGGCTCTAGACCGTGGGTCGTCGCCTAGAAACCGCCTAGCGCCTTCTTGAACATTGATGAATACTAATAGTGAAAGATGCTACAATGTGAATCTATAGGTGGTATATGATCTGATTTTGTGATGATATTTGAAACTTGAGCTTAATGCTACATCATAGACCCTATGAAACTTAGACATTTTATTTATTTCTAAATGTCTTCACTACCAAAACATTGGGACCTGTGAAAAATAGAAGGAGAAAAAACGCATAGATGTCATCACTTTCACAACCTTTGCATCCTTGTCGACGCAGAATGCCATTGTAGCATAAGCAACATACAAATGATAAGTGCAGCTTGGTGACTTCCGAGCATCCAAAAAGTACTTACGAGCTGCTTCAATGCCTTCAGTTCTCCTTAGAAACCGAATAAACTACAGTAGGAAACCACAGTGAAATTTGTCACAAAGCGCTCAACAAAAAAATATAGGTACATCAAAAGTAATGGCAGCTCACCTGAATATTTGCAAGTGAGGTCACACTAGCATTTTCACCAAGAAGAGATTCGTATATTGTCTTAGCAGTCTGCACAGAAAGCGTATATGAGAAAATAGGATTGGCGGTGTAAGGGATATTATAGTTTGTCAATGTTCAAGGGAAGCTCATGGACCTGTATTGCCCCTCTGGACTCTTCCATTTCAGCAAAGGCATACTTAAGTACTTCAGAATCTAAAAGAGAATTTCATGGGTCAAATTAAGCCAGGAATGCTGCTCTAGACATAACAATGTAACTCAAAATGAATAAAAAATCACAGGTCTCCTCAACGCAAGCATGCAACATGATTAGAATTAAGAACTAAGGACCATTCTACATTCTTAGTTAGATATCTGTACCATACTCAACATGATAAAGAACTAATGATGCCACCAGTACTCCAGTAGTACAGTTCAGAGTGAACAAGACAACTACTTCAACAGGTTATTACTTAGTAGTTGTCAAGAGATGCATAGCAATCTGAGCAAATTCTTACTCAAGTCTTAACAACTTTAACCATGAAATGGATTAATAAACCTCTCATGCAAAAATACATTTGCTACAAAAATAACAAAGCCTTTTGTTCCAAGCCAAGTTGCCATAGCAAGAGATGAAAAAAGAGAGTAAACCAGTAGCAACGTTTAATATAAGATCATGGTTCAGTACACATGGATTCCCAATTTCCTATCAAAATAATAGAAATAGAAATATATTGTATTTCAATATACTGGCACTCATGCAAAGAACTCATATGCCGGTGTTCTTTGCTGAATGCATAAAGGCTAGACAAAGGTGAACTACTCAGACTGCAGGATTCATATGGGGATTTGTAGGGGATCGGGAACCCAAAATCCTGTGAGCAAAGACTCTTTGACTCAAAATTCGGAGTAAACAGGTCAAATAGTCATATCGACTGCACCGGCTTTTGAGTTCATCCATATGGTCAATTAGTCGAATGTAAAACAATGTTCATGTATCATCTTGATCAAGGATTCAAGAATGTAACTTGACCTGTGACCAAGTTCTTACATGTAGACCTCTCAAGTCGCAACCACATTTGATCTGGAGGACCCACAATCGCTGGCTCACTGCTCTTTAGGGTAGACAGAATGAAATGGTAGCTGCCTTGGAACATGTATCAACTGCTCGGGGCATGACCCTCACATCTTTGGTACATAGACTAGTGGAGTTAAATAACCTCCTAGAAAATATGCAGCACTTAAATAACCTTCCCAAAGATATCATATCCCAGTGGCAGTGCCCCCCTACATACACACATCTACCTCTGGACATGTATCTCAGGGATTCCAATTCGTCTACGAAATTTACTTAAACCAGTCATTTAATGCTACCAGGTAAAGGTGCAAAACAACCCTCTTGACAGCAGAGAAACCTTATTAAAACTATGTTTTTGCTTTTTATTCCAACAACATATATCCACATCCTCAGAGCATGTTCTGAGTTCTTTTGGTAGACCAATCAGAATACTATATACACTTCCAAACTAGTACATTGACTAGTGGAACAAATATCCATAAATGAATTGATCAAAAGAATTCTAAAAGATTACCAGGGATTGCTTTTAGAGCTCGCTGAAATATTTTTGATGCAGAATCCATAGAACCATTCTTCGCATGCCACATAGCATAATCGTACCATATATCAGGATGATGATATAGATACATCAGGCACTGGAAAACAAGAAATGTGAAAATTAAAGCAAATGCATATGGTACATTGATCATTTACAAACTCTATATGTTTCACTGTGCAATGGGGAAAAAAACTGGTCAATTCAGGCCTCGGGGTTAAAACATTTAAGGTAAGAGAAATGTACAACGTAAAATAGCCCAGATATCAATTTCAGTGTTTTTCGTTGTCTTGGACAAAGAACAATAAAAGCACTAACAGCGTAGCAAATCTGAATTCCATAAAGTAATAGGACATACAAGATGTTTTTTTCCCTTTTTGACCATAAATCGTCTAGGAGTTCCTCTCAGACTCACAGTGTAAGCTGTTTCATTAAATAAAACAAAGGAGTACTGAATGTTTGTACAAGAAAAGAAAGAGACGAGTTGGGACGAAAATACAAACTCTCACCTATAATATTTAGTCATAACAGTATATGAGCAGAATATGAACACATGATATTTACACATTTCAAAATATGATCACTATGTATAAGACTGTCTGACTAGAGCTAAATAAAAGAATGATAAGGAACGTCATCTCATTCAGGTGCCTCTAGCATATAAGTATACAGATAGAAATGGGCTTACTTGCTCGTAAGTAAAGGTGACACGCCTATTAGCTGTTGTAGCATCAATCCTTTGAGGGTTCCCCCTATAGAGAAACAGAACTCTTGTAGTTATCAGAAATGTAAGGACTAATCTTATATGGAGGTGACAACAAGTGAAAACTGGGCAAGTTTAAATTAACGGTTTAATACATAATTTGCCCTCACATAATGACCATAAAAAAAAAAAAAGGCATATACAGATCACAAAGCATAAAGACAAGTTACCACTTACAGTAAAACATAGAAAACAGAAATTCTACGCCTTAGTTCAGAAGGGATCATCAATTGTACTTGAAGTCATACTATTTAAATTCCACATAAAACAGCTCCCAATAGATCCACATAAAAAAATAAACTAGGGAATGATTTGTGTCAAGCGAAGGTAAGAGAAGAATATGAAGAATTTTTTTCTCGAACACGCAGGAGAGCTGCGTATCATTATATTAAGAAGAAGAAAAGGAGTCTAAGAAGACTCAAAACACAAAACAAAGAATATGAAGAATTAAGCTGTTATGGCCCTTTATAAAATGAAATTAAGTGCAGAAAAAAAAATCATGTGTGCTTTTTCACTCATGGCAACATAGCATGTGTGGCACAGATGTTTACTTACTTTTCAAATACCAAGAGTCTTTTCCATGCCATACACTGTTGCGCTTCCTGTGAAATAAGTTAACAAGTTACCAGCCAGTCGAATTCCAGTCACTTTGACATTTGACCTAACAGACTGAAAAGAAAATGAACATATTTTTCCAATATTGAAAAAAAGTCAGGAAAAGCTAATAATCCAAAGCAAGATCAGTAAATGAACAAGAAATTGCACTTTATAAGGAAGCGTATTTGTATCCCTATTAAGTTCAATATGACAGTAATGGCCTAAACCTAATGCAGGCAAAACACAAATGCCTAAACTTAATGAGAGGTATTAGCCAAAACTCAAGGCAAGAAAAAACACAAAAAGCAATCCATTAGATGCATATCAAACTGGCCCAAAAAAAACCTCTGCTTCCAGATTAAACAGATGGATTCTGAATGGACTTCAACTAGGTAGCTATACAGGTTGCAACTTCTAAGGAGTTACCAAATTCTGGAATGCATACAATTTAAGTTATCTTTTTAGGGGCGAAAACCTTCGAGATGAAACAATAGAAACAGCAGCACAACACAATGAAGTAGATTGGGGTAGGCTAGACCGCTAGAGATTAAACACAACAAGAGCCACCAACATGGGAGCATATAAAAGTAAAAAATATATATTTGGAATATGGTAAAACATATTTCAAACTGAGACATGGCAATAAATCATCCATACAACAAAAACAAAGCCCTTAGTCCCAAGTAAGTAGGGTAGACTACAAATAATTATCCATAAAAAAAGCAATTCTTGAAGACAATATTTATGGATTTGCACCATACCTAGTCAAGTCGTATGAATCAACATTAGGACCTAAGAAATGGCTTACCTTGTAAGAGACTGTAGGGGGGGCAACATTAGGACCTAAGAAATGGTTTACCTTGTAAGAGCCTGTAGGGGGAGTGGCCAGCACATTCCAATCAATATCATCAATGAACTTTTTTCGCTCTCTATATACAGCTTTAGCACTGTTAAACTTTGGTTGATATTCAGATAACAAACCTTTTGCCTGGAACGTGCATAGATCATCAGCTTGAGTATGATTGTACAAAGTATGAAACAAAGGCAGGTCAAATTTAAATTGTCAAAAAAGTGATTAAAGTAAAACAGCCAGAAAGCATATAAGAACCATTTTTTCCAACACAACTTATAGACTTATTCGCATGCTTCTTTGCAGAAAAAATAAAAATCCAAAGAGAAATTCCAATTACCAAGGTGCGGCTAACAGAATTCTCGAAGTTCTCATAATCCTTCCACAGCTGCTCTACATGATTAGTTGGGACTAAAATTGCCTTCTGGTACACTTTACGAGCAGTAGTCATGCGATGCGACTCTTCATGGGGCGTCACAGCCTAAAGAGTTTGCAAGTCAGCAATGACCCAGAATGCAACCACACATGAAAGGCCATAATGTTAAAATGGGGAACAGAACAGGAAATAAGGAGCACAGCAGACCGGCATGGACTTGAGGAAATTAATATACTCCATCCAAACAGGGCCAGAAGCAGCATCATTCCCTGGAGATTTAAAGCTTATTATTAGTACACTCTACACCGAAAGTGGCTTCATCCCCAGACACTGCTTGGAATGAGAATCCTCTGCTTACCAACATAGTTGAGCATGAAATCAAAAGCCTTTTTTGTCTCATCAAGACCCTCAGAGCCCCTTTTATCGTTTATTCTCCTGATAAAGTTTATGTAACAGCGCCTGCAAGTTACAAGCACCCAACCCGAATCAATGATTCAATGTGCATGCAGAAGAGCGGAAATTCGTGCACGCCAACTCAGCTAGAGCATGTGCGCGTGTGTGCAAGGTCGATATGGTGCGAGTGAGTTGAGCATGGACCATAGACTAATGTGAAGGCAGTTGAGCAGGCATCTGCTGAAAATCTGCTTGGTGGCTTCGTCGTTGTTAGTGGCCATGTAGGCTTCGACATACTGCTTCCAGTATTTGGCCTGGGCATGGAATTATGTGTCAGTACTTTGTCATAAACAATGAGGAACAGTGAAAGGGGTCAAGGGAAAGTATACTGACAGCCGTGGGGAAAGTGGCGAGCAGCCTCTCGTAGATTGGGGCGGCTTCATCGATGGGGAGCAGCTGAAATCAATAGAACTGGATTGGGTTGGGTATTCAGTTGACGTGAGTAGAGCAGAGTTGAGAGCAGAGGACTGACGAGGGCCTCGTTGGCGAGGATCTCGGCGGCCCGGACGTTGTAGATGTCGCCGCCATCGCCATGGCCGGCGCCTCCTCCGGAATTCTGCACCCACCCACCACGAAAAAGATTCAGTAGAACGATTAGAAGGCCAGGCCCTAACTGTAAGGAGGGAGGGAGGGAGGGAGGAGGAGGGGGGAATAAGCTGAGGTACTTGCCTCTTCAGGCATCTCGCTATTGGGCAACTGTCGAACCGGTGGGGATTGACTTTGACTGCTCCCGCTTGAGTGAGGGAGAGGAATGGAGGGGAGGGAATAGCGAATAGGGCTGCTAATGCTGAAGCGCGGATTGAAGGGGTAGCGAGCGGACACAAACCAAATCCGCCCTGCTCAGTCGCCTGCCTCCGTCCCTCGCCAAGCAGTAGCAGTAGACGGAGACCACAGACCAGTTAACCGCGGTCGGAGAAGAGAGAGGGAGGAGTCCGGAGGTTGAAGACGACATAGATGAACGAGGAGTCATTTACTGGGTGCCATTAAAAAAATTTATAATTACGCATAAGCCATTGAAAAGGTTGAGCTCCCATGAGTGTCACCGTTCTGAACTTCTTTGCTCTCCAAGTCATTTCGTCCGCATTTCGTTCATTTTTTATCATTTGGGAGTCCAGACAAGTGGGTCAAGTCAGTCAAAATGTCCATAATACCCCTCTCATCCATATCTCTCTCATACTCGATCTCTCTTCTTGTGCGTGCGGCCAGGGTGGAGCTCCCACGCGCCTGCGCCTGCGCCCACGGCGGCCAGGGCGGAGCTCCCCCGTGCCCGTGCTCGCGGCGGCCGGGGCTAGGCTGGGCGGCCACGTGGAGCAGCGACGCCGAGGCGGTCACCGCGATCGCGAGCTCGTGCGCGTTCGCCTGGATGAGGTGGCGCTGTGGTCGGAGTGGAGCTACCCCCCGTGCACGTGGCCCATGGCGGCCGGGTGGAACTCGCCTACGCCCGAGCCTGCGCCCGCGCCCGCGGCGGCCAGGGCGAATCTCAACACTCATGCGCCTGCAGCCTCGCCCTCCTCACTCTCGCTCTTGACACACCCTCCTCGCTCTCGCTCTTGGCCTCGGCCTTGGCCTCCTACACCGCTGAGGCTCGCCGCCACGCCAAGCCGGGAGCCAACCCCACCGTCCGCGACCTCGTCAAGCCTATGGCCACGCCACCTCGAGCACTCGGGAGACGGTGACGAGGGCGGAGCACCCGGCCGCAGCGCAGACCTCCCTTGGCCCTTCATGTGCACAGGGAAAAGAAGAGAAAGAGAAAGTTTGGGTGTCTGACAAACGGACCCCCTGTAGGGTAAAATGGTCATTTCATCAGTTTATTTGACACCGTTAGATAGAAAAACGGATGAAATGGTTTGGAGAGCAAAGAAGTTCAGAACGGTGGCACTCGTAGGAGCTCAACTTTTTTAATGGCTTATGCATAATTATAAACTTTTTTAATGGCACAGGTAAATGACTCGTGAACGAGACGAGGGAGAACGAAGAGGCCATATGGGCCGGCTCGACCACAGCTGTTGATGGGGCGGTTCATGAGATTGGGCCTGCACTGCTGGGCCAACCTAACTGGACCTAACCCTATTTCGGAGCAAGAAGGGAAAAGAAAAAAAGGGTGACTATATATAAGGAAGAGAGTTACTAATTTTAGGTGTCTAAATAAATTTTAAGATAATTTCAAACAAGAATTCTATACAAACAATTAGTACAAGTAAAAGCACAACTCACAAGAGACAAGTATCAATGTAATGAATGAAAGCTCGGTTTTTCATAAAAATTAATGAATGGCTAATTATCAGAGCATTTCTCACTCACTTTCTGTTGAATCGTCATATTATGCCAAGTCAGAGTTACTACAAAAAGCAAAAACCAATTGAAAAATAACAAAGAAAGAAGGAAAAAGACTAAAAGTGAAAAATATCGAGCGGATGTGTGGCAATTTCTTACCAGAAGAAATTAGGGGCCGTTTAGATCCTTTCGTCTCGGAGGAATTGGAATAATGGATTATGCTATTTAGCTTAGAATTTGATATTCCATAACTTTTCCAAGTTCAGATATAAGCCTATCTCAAATTCATAGGATAAGAGATGGAAATTGATTCTATAAATCATCGTGCTATGTTTCTACTCTACAACTATAATTATCTCCCTTATATGGCTAACAATAGTATTCAAATATATTCCATATACCATCATATTAGCTTATCTATGCCTAAATTATAATTATCAGAATGAATTAAATTTTAAGGATCTAAACGAGCCTCAGAGAAAAGTGTCTGTACCCTAGTAATAATTTAAATCCCTAAAAAATGATTTTTCCTAGCTTCGCTGCTAGATGGTCCAGGTCGGTTCATTAATCTGAAAGGCATCTTACCTCCTAATCCTAACTTGTATGATGTGGAATACCGAACAATCTCGATGCACTCCTAAATGATTTATTTGATCTAGGTTGCAGAACGAAGACAGTTACGAAGAGAAACATCTGAAACAAGGCTCATTGGTGCGTGATAGGGTTTAGGTCTCCTCTGAATCTATGCACTTCTGAACCTGTGCTCTTCGATCCGGAGATGCCTACAAAGAAATTGTTATATATATATATACTTATTAGTCCATAGCTAGCTACAGAATACCGTATTCTGTAGCCAGACCAAAACTTGCGAACTCAAGACCCACTGCAACTTCCGAGCGAGATTGGCTTTGACTCAGGTGGTCCCCCCCCATCCTAATGCATCCATGCATTCATTTAATCCTGAGATTTTTCTCTTTCCTTTCACCGGCCACGAGAACACCAGGTTCGCCGCCCAAGAAGGCAGCCACGAAAAAACGTTTTGCTTCTTCCTGCTGGAGACGTTCCACCACACGGGACACTGCGACGGCGTCGATCTGATCCTTCCCCGACCGGCGGTGCGCATCATCCTCATGGGATTCCGGCGACCGGCGGCGGCCCTGCCACGGCGGCCTGGCCCCTTGGTGACGCTACCGGCGGCGGCCCTGCTCCCCGTCGGCTGCGATCGGCGGCAGCCTCGCTCCCCGTGAAGGCGACGCCGGGCTCAGACGACCCCTCCCTGTCTTCTCTCGTCATCTCCAGCGCGGCACCTTCCCCGTTGGCCTGTGCGCGTCCTCTTCGTCGACTCGGAACCGTGACCCGGTCACGATGTGATGCATCAGCCTAGTCGTTGGTGGCTCATCGGCCGGACCTGAGGCGAATCGTCTTTGTCGATGCCCGTCGTAAGTGGATGACAGCTCCGTGATAGAGACTGCGTCCTCTCCTTCGGTGAGTGTGACATCTCCTGTTTATTTGTTGATCGGAATCCTTCTCCTATTTATTTGTTGATCCGAATCCGTGAGTATTAAACTGTATTTTTTCCCTGTGCCTCTGCTTGATTTATCTCTACTTTCAAATAATTTGTATGGATTTCTCTAATTATCAAACTGCATTGTTGTTCATCTAATTATAGATTCTGATTTTTCCACAAATTTTTTTCTGGAAGATGCTATTAGCCTCATGATCTTGCTAAAAGTTTTATCTTTATTTTTTTCTAAATCCAGGTGCATAGATCCTGGTTTCCAGCTTTCAGAGGTTGTGGATGGTGCTGCATCAAAGATTCATCAATTCAGAAACCTCATGTTCGCTTGTTTTAGAATCCATACTTTTTCAGCGAACGAACAATATTCTCCTCTCACAACCCAACTGTACTTTCAGCCATGGCTTATCAGCCAACATGGACCTGATTATATGAATGAAACAAGAAACAATATAGTCTGTAATTATCGAAGCGGTTTGGTACCTTTTTGTGATGTTGAGATATATGATTCGCCCAGTACAAGCTGGTGCTATACAATATGTACCATTTGAAATATCGTAACTGTCTTATGGTAAAATGGTCTTAATACTATAGTAACTACTTATCATGAACCATTTGACTCATGTAATTGTCGTATCAAGAAACTCGAATTCTCGTAATTATTTCATGGTAAACCATTGTCTCAATTACAATATAGTATAGTTATAGACTTCATTCATTCTCGTAACTGGCCGACTAGTTACATGGAACAACTAGAACATAAACAAAGTAACTCATCATGTAATTGTCATACGAAGCCAACTCGAATTCTCGTAATTATTTCGGTTCTCGTTATTCACATTCAAGTTTCATTCTCGTAAATTACACTAAATTCTCGTAAATCATAGTTGTCAAATTCACAAGGATAGCAAGGCATAGATTCTAGTAAATCACAATCAATGGTATATATTTTCTAGTAAATCATTTACTTTTTTTTTGAACATAGTAAATCATTTACTGAATACAATAGGTTTGTATTTGCTTTTAGTATTCTCGTAATACTTGCACGCATGGCACCAGCTGTACTAGTACACCAACTTTGTGTATTCTCGGAACACATCTGTACACGCTTTGCATGCATGGCAATGGCACCGTGTGAAGGCGTGAAAATAATTATTCCAAATATCCAGCGTCATTAATTACTGCAATTACCTGCAGCGTTGATCCCGCATGCATGCAGCTGGAAAGGAAAGCAGTAACGCTTTGGGGCTGGCCGGCTGGATCGGATGGGCATCTGGTGCGCTCGGTTGGCCTGGCTGCAGAATAACAAACTCTATAGCCGGCTACAGATTATATAGGGAGAGTATATTTAGTAGCCAGCTATAAAATAAGTTATTCCGTAGCCACCTCTATTTACGATAATTTTATATACTAATTTATGATAATGTCAATATATATTTACGATAGTTGGGTTACTATAACACATGGAGATATTTACCATAATGTTATAGTAAACCACTTAGTATAAAGTTACTGTAATCTCGTAAATTAACATAGTAATTATCATAACTCAAAGTGGCTACAGAATAAGTTATTTTATATATATATATTCATTCATGGGCTTGCAGATAGCTAGCAGAGAACAACGAAGTAGATATAATATCCACATATAGAGGGAGCTGCTAGCACATTGCTTAATTAATTTGAGGTTACTACGTACGTAGCTAGGCACAGTACTGTAACAAGCAAGTAAGCAAATTAAATCGATGGAGCCTTTTCTTCCATGCATTTGGTAGGTACGGTCGTATTATATGGCCATAGCTGATGAGTACATCATGATTTGATGATCCTCCTGCGGCTGCTCCGGCTCCGGCAGCTCCGAGTCCCGGCAGCAGACGACGAAGATCTGCTGCACCTCGTAGGCAAGATCCTCAACACTGAGCTGGCATTCGAGCCCGATCTGCATGCATTAATAATTAATTACATTACATTACATATATATGCGGCCGGCATGCATGAGAACAATCGATAAGCTAGCTAGCTATTAGCGTATATATATATATATATATATATATATATATATATATATATATATATATATATATATATATATATATAGAGAGAGAGAGAGAGAGAGAGAGAATCAGCCAAATATACACAGTATCATAGTATATCATATGATGCATGCATATATATCGTATCATATAGTACGTGCGTGCCTTGAGGACGAAGGAGTGGAGGACGGTGTCTTCCATGGTGCTGATGTTGAGGTGGAGCACCTCCAGGTGGAGGCCCTCGAGCACGGCGATCATCCTGACGGCCTGCCCGGGGATGCGGCGGGAGAGCGTGCGCAGCAGGACGTTGGAGCCGGAGATCTTGGCCTCGACGTCGGCCACGGCCGAGTTGCAGCAGGCGGCGAGCTCCTTGATCATCATCGTCGTCGACCCTGCGACTGGCGGCGACGGGGTGGCCATGGTGCTGCTGGCGGCGGCGGAGGATCCGGATCCGGATCCGGACGAGAGGAGATGGGAGCGCGGGCTGGGCGTGGGGCTGGGGCTACTACTCATGAAGCTGTGTCCGCCGCCGCCGCTGCTGTGCCGCTTCTTCCTGGCCTCCAGCGACTCCAGCACCTGCTGCAGCTCCTTGATGAACTCGATGGCGCCGCCGATGATGGAGGCTTGGTCGCCGCGCTTGATGTAGAGGCCGGGCGTCAGGGACCGGAGCACCTTGAGGTGCTCGTTCATCTGCCGCCGCCGGTTGCGCTCCACCGCGATGTGGGACATATTCGATCGAGTGATCGACGTATATACTCTCCCCCCTGGATGCAGATCGAATAATATATCCGGATCGATCGATCGACTAGCTAGCTAGCTTATATATATATATACAGGTCGGTCTGGGAAGAAGAAGAAAGAAGAAGAAGATACATGGATATTGCATGGATGACGTGTAGTCGTACTCGTACGTATATATTATATGTGCTAGCTGTTGCATGATCCCTCCCCGATCCATTGATCGGCTGGAAGGTTCGTCGACCGTACCGACAGCACAGGATAGATGCATCTGCATGACTGCAGGTACGACCATGCATGCATACCTGTGAGTGTCATCTACGCGGCAGAGGGTGGGGGACCATGCATGCATGCATTCGACGTGTGTGATCGCTCGCCTCATGCATGTATGCATGCATGCATGCAAGGAGAGACAGGAGTATTCTTTGCTGCAATGCAATGCAATGCAATGCATGCATGTCGCCGTCGTGACCGTGCGCGTGCATCGTCCAGTTGCCAGCTCTTTTTTCACCTAACGAGCCAGGAATGCGCCGCGCGGCCGGCACGTACAGGACAGGAGATAAATAAATTGGATCGAGAGAGAGAGAGAGAGAGAGAGAGAGAGTAATAATACACACACACACGCCTGCCTACGTGCAAGCTGCTTGATTGCAACACCGTACTATCCTCGTCGCCGGCCGCCGGGCACCGGGCACGCACGCAGTACCCGGACGGCCGGCCGATCGCATCGAAAATGACACGCCAACTAGTTAGCTAAGTTGCATCACTATGGAACTATGGAACTTGGGTGTACAAATTAGGCTATATCGATCGCTAGCTTGATTGTTATATACTTATATTATTACTCCTCCAAATACTTTTTTAGTCTAACATCAATTTAAAAATAATTGGTGATATACTGTTATTATAATAGAAACTAATAAATATTAAAATATTCTTACTAGTATATATCGATTTGTTTTTAAATGGAGGAAATACGTCTTCATAGAAAAATTAACGGATCTGGAGGAGTGAGTATCTATAGCTGCAGCTAGCTAGTGCTATGCTATGCTATGGTAGCTAGTTCATCTGCATGAACGCAATGAAACAACATCGATCCATGAAATGAAAGCACGTATGGTCCGCCCGCCCGCCCGTCGTACGTGCGCTGCATTTACTCGCAACCGGCCACAATACGTGCGCGCGTCTCTACCGCCGTATCATTTATTATAAGGAAAAAGTCCATTATCGGCCTTCCAACTATGGCTACAGTTTTGTTCTAGCCCTCTAACTCGAAAACTAGACACTCGTAGCCCCTTAACTCTCAAAACCGGTTAAAATTGGTCCTCACGTCCATTCGACCGCGGTTTCCGCACAGTAAACCCACCACGACCCTGCCTGTCAGTCATTTCCCTCTCACCGCCAGGTTGGGACCACCTGTCATCCCCCTCCCTCTCTTCGCGGGCCCCGCCTGTCAGGCCTTTCCCCAACCTCCCGCCCTGTACGGCTGCGCGCTCATGCGTGCGGGTGTGTGCGCCGGGGAGTGGCGCAGGGGCGCCCGTGGCCTACCTCGGCAGTGCCCGGAGACAGGGGTCGCCGGAGCTTTCGGCAGCGGCGCAAGCGGCGTCGCCATGGGCGGGATTGGGGAGAGCTCAGCGGCTCACCACGAGCTGCGCAGGGTCCGTGGCCGACGCCATAACCAGTTAACCACCGAGGAAGAGGCAGCGCGGGTCGACGGAGGAGTAGCGGCGCGCGTTCGTTGCAGACGCAAGGCCAGCATTTGCGAGTGGCAACAGCGAGTGTGAAAGCTCTAGTTTGATTTTGGTAAATTGATGAAACCCTAAGTGCTAACCTAGTTCATCAAGTGATCATGAGATAGGTAGCACACTTCAAGTAGAGAAACAAATGAAGATCATAACATGACAATGGTGATAGCATGGAGATGATCAAGGGCTTAAACTTGAAGAGAAGAAAGAGAAAAACAAAAAGCTCAACGCAAAGGTATAACTTGTAGGAGCTATTTTATTTTGGTGATCAAGACACTTAGAGAGTGTGATCACATTTAGGTTTGATAGCCGTACTATTAAGAGGGGTGAAACTCGTATCGGAATGCGGTTATCAAAGTGCCACTAGATACTCTAACTCATTGCATTTGTATTTAGGATCTAGTGGAGTGCTAACACCCTTGATAATATTTGTGTAAATATGCTACCACATGTGCACAAGGCGCTTTCGGGAAAATGAAATGTCTATTTTCTATTGCGCCGGATGCAAAATTCTTGGTGGTTGGCACACTTGAGCAAGGGTGAAGAAGTAAGAGTTGAAATGGAGTTGATCGAAATGATGTTTGGCGTCGGTCTCATTGACCGGACGCTGGTCACTCAAATGATCGGACGCCGAAAGGTCGCATCCGGCCGAGGTGCCGACGGCACAAATGGTTAGGGTTGAGCACCGGACCCGGCGCTGCGTCCGGTCAAGGTGGACTGAGACGTCCGTAGAAAAAAACATACCTCGGGGGAGCTTTATCGAAACGACCGGACGCTGGCTTCAGGTCGATTTTTATCGAGCGTCCGGTCGGCTTTCGTGACCTTGAAATCTGACGAACATCATTTGAAGCAGGGGACACGTGACGTGAATCACGTGACCGGACGCTGAGGGCCAGCGTCCGGTCGATCGGACCGGAGCGTCCGGTCACCCCGCGTTGTGCCCAGTGAAGGGGTACAACGGCTCTATTTCACTGGGGCTCTATTTATAGCCCCATGACCGGCTCAAGGGATCTCTCTTGCACATTTTCATTGATATAGCAACCTTGTGAGCCTAGCTAAAGTCCTCCCACTCATCTACATCATTGATTCATCATCATAGTGAGATTGGGAGTGAATCCAAGTACATTGCTTGAGTGATTGCATCTAGAGGCACTTGGTGATTGTGTTTCATCATGGATTTTGCTTGTCACTCTTGGTGGTTGCCGCCACCTAGACGGCTTGGAGCAGCAAGGATCGTTGAGTGGAGGAGGTGATTGTCTCGGACCATCGTGGTGATTGTGAGGGGTTCTTGACCTTTCCCGTGAGCGCCAAAAGGTACTCTAGTAAATTGCTTGTGGCTTGTGTGATCCTCATCTTGTGTTGGTTGTGCGGCACCCTATTGAGGGTTTGGCGAGTGATGCCAATCGTCAGCGTGAACCTCCAAGTGAGTGAATCGCTAACGAGGACTAGCTTGCTTAGGCAAGCAAGTGAACCTCGGTAAAAATCATTGTGTTCATCATTTGATTCCGAGGTGATTGGTCTACATTGGTATTCATCTTCGTGATTGATTGGTTCATTCATCTACACGGCGGTATAACCCTCTTGATCACTCTCTTTACTTTACCGCAAACTAGTTGACAAGCTCTTTAGTGTAGCTAGTTGTGAGAGCTTGCATGCTTGGTTGGTGTGGCTCTTTAGTTAGCCTTTGAGAGCACACTAACATAGGGTAGTGTCATTGCTCTTGTGTGAATTGACACTATCTAAACTAGAATTGTGGTAGATGGCTTGCATTGTTGAGTAGGCTAGCGCAACACTCGATTCGCCTCATAATTGTCTAACCATTTGGTTAAGTGTTGTCGTAGAAATTTTTATTAGGCTATTCACCCCCCTCTAGCCATTAGGACCTTTCAGAGTGGCGCTCACCTTCCTCACCGCCGGCCTGGTCCCCACTCGCTTGCTCATCTGCGCCGCCTCATCGCAGAGCCGCAAGCAGCACGGCCGCGTCGCGTGTGCCCGTGGCCAGCTCTGGGCTCCCTCCGGCCAAGAAGAGGGCCAGACTCGGGGACGCTGAGGCCAAGCACAGCTCGCCGGCTCTCAACACGAGCGTCGTGTGAGCCGTGCTGCTCATGGGCAGGGCAGCCACCGACGTGGACAGCCGGCCATGGGTCACCTCCGGTCGAGCTACGGCCACCCCCGATTGCGCCTGGGCCGGCCGCGCCCACGCCGGGGAGCAGCCACACTGGGGCCACGTCGCAGCCGCGCCGGTGGCCGACTGTACCTCGCGCTACCATGACTGGGGGCCTGGGCCACCGCGTTGTCGCCCTGCAGCCAGTCACCCCGCAGACGACGACCCGGACCCGGCTGCTCCGTTCGGCACCAGCTCGGTCGAGCTCCCCTACGACGCGACTTGTGCTTCCTTGTCTCCATCCTCCCTTCCCTTTCTGTGCCAAGCCAGCAGCACAGCCGAGCAACTCGCCGCCGCAGCCATTGCCGCGGACGGTCACCACCGCACCACCTCCACCAGTTCTCCAACCAAACAGATCACACGGTGAGCATCCCCATCCCTCCACGACTCTCTCCGGTTCCATGCCTAGCTCGCCGAGCAGGCTGCAGCGCACGCTCGGCACCCCTTCCCTCCCAGCGCGCACGCACAGCGAAGCAAGCAGCAGCCGGTCGTGCTCTGCTTTGCTCTTGTTAGCTTGATGATGTCACTCTAACGTCGTGCACACTTTATGGCGGCAGGCGAGCTCTGCTCGGTCAAACAAAGAAGGATGCGGCGGCGCCCCTGAGCTCTCCCCAATCCCGCCCATGGCAACGCCGCTTGCGCCGCTGCCGGAAGCTCCGGCGACCCCCGTCTCCGGGCACTGCCGAGGCAGGCCACGGGCGCCCCTGCGCCACTCCCCGGCGCACACACCCGCACGCGCGAGCGCGCAGCCGTACAGGGCGGGAGGTTGGGGAAAGGCATGACAGGCGGGGCCCGCGAAGAGAGGGAGGGGGATGACAGGTGGTCCCAACCTGACGGTGAGAGGGAAAGGCCTGACAGGCGGGGTCGTGGCGGGTTTACTGTGCGGAAACCGTAGTCGAATGGGCGCGAGGGCCAATTTTAACCGATTTTGAGAGTTAAGGGACTGCGCGTGTCTGTTTTTCGAGTTAGAGGGCTAGAACAAAACTGCAGCCATAGTTGGTGGGCCAAAAATGAACTTTTTCCTTATTATTATTACTCCATGCAATGCATGCTGCGTCTACAAGACAGGCACACCCAACTCA